GTACTACTAATTGTAGAGTAAAGTTTATAACATTAGTTACAAGTTATTACTAATTAATTAAATAGTTTCTAGTTATATATTTTGGTTGTTTACATTTATAACAAGTAGCAGAACCTCTTGATTATTCAGATCTCTGAAGATTTATATTTTGATAACTATTATTATTATTCTGTGATACGTTTTAATTCAATTTTAAATTCAGATTTCTATGCTTTCTTTATTTTTATAGAATATATTAATCATTTTTTTAATTAGTATCTATATATTCTATATTCTCAAAACTCTTGATAATTACTAGGTTAAACCTAAGTATTTTTCTTATACTTGTTTCTACTTTCCTAACAGATAATATTATTATTTATAACAGAATATAATAAATAATAAGATAAACTCCTTCTTAAAAAAAGAACACTTATTGTAATTGTAATTATAATTATATATTATAAAACACATAACAATGCAACAATAAAAAAAATTATAGTTCATAAAACAAATAATCTTTTAATCTTAAAAAAAAATCTAAGAAACAAGGATAAATTATATATATGTTATAAGAAGCTTTTAATATTTTATCTTGTTTTATTATAGATTTTTCTAAAAAAATATATTGATGATAAGAATGAAAGGCGTAATATGAATTGAGCCAGGAATTTAATCAGATTTAATTTAGTCAATTGAACTCAGGGATTATGTTCTCAAAATTGATTTTAGATTTTTGAGATATTTAAACTTTTTGAGATTTATGCAGAATCTATTCTATATATAGAAGTAAAAAAAATATCCAGTTATATGTATTTTTAATCAAAGAATAAATTTGGGTGATCAAAAAATTTTGAATTTTAAGTAAAATAATTTTGTCTTTTATGAAAAACTATTTTAACTTTTTTCCCTGAAATTATAATTTTGAGGTTCCAAAATAATTTTATATGCAAGTATAGTTGGTGCAAAGGTTAAATTCTAATGCAATTTTAATTAACTGATGTAAAGATTAAATTTTAATATAATTCTGATTGATGTAATTATAAAATTTATTAAATAATTATTTTTTAATATTTAAAGATAATTGATTTTATATTTAATTTTAAATTGATTTTATATAATAAAGAATAATTTTTTATTATAATATTTTTATAATAAATTGAAAATTTTGGTTGTTTTTTTTAAAGAGAAAAATTTTTTTTTTAGAAAAAGGTATTTGTTTTTATTTCGAGAGAAAAAGAAAAAGAGAAAAAGAAAGAGAGAAAAAGAAAATTTTAAAAATTATGATAAAGTTTAGTATGGTTGAATTGAGTTAAAATTTAATTGGTAATTAAATTGAACTGGAATTTAGCTAGCACAATTAAATAATTAAATTGAATTGGAATTTAGCTAGCACAATTAAATTAAACTGGAATTTAGTTGGCTCAATTAATTGAACCAGAATTTAACCAGAATAAAATTAATTAGTCAAGGTACAATTAATTGAGCCAGATTAAAATTAATTGAGTCAACTATTTCTAATTGACAATCAAAAGAATTTTAGTTGATAAGTTTACAATTGTAATTGGTATATATAAATTTTTAATTAATGAATGATAAGTACTTACAATTGAGATAAAATTTTAATATAAAATGATATCAAAGTATCTGGAGATGTTGATATTGAGCTCAATTATTTAATCTCTTTCAAATCTTCTAAATAAATATTCAACTTCATCAATTTCTTTATTTTGATTTTATTTAGATCTTGTTTTAAAGCTATGAGAGACTTCTATAATTATACATTTTTATAGAGATCTGAGAAATTGAGTAGATTACATAATGAAGACAAATATATATTTTTTAACAACAATACAATAAATTCTAGAAGGTTAATAATGCTTCAACATTTTATAGTCTTCTGTATTTCAATATATTCTTCTTTATATCATTTTGATTTTATAACTTTTAATTTATAATAGATAATATTCCATGTCTCTAACCTAATATAGTTTGAAATATTAATATGTTGAAATACAAACTGGTCAAAAATTTATAAATACTATATCTATTGGATACTAATAGGTATAAGAGTAATGTACATGTTCATATACTTATCAGATATCTGATAAATATATCAGGTACCTAATAGGTATAAAAAATATTTTACTACACTTATTAAATATTTGATATACCTATTAAGTATTTAATAAGTATACAAACATGTATATTATTCTTATACCTATTAAATATCTAATAGATATAGTATTTATAAATTTTTGACTAGTAAATATTACCATAATCTATCTTATCAAATGATCCGTAATATCAGTTACTACTTTTAAAAGATCTATAACAACCAAGTTAAACTTTAATATTCATTTGTCATAATCAAAAAGATATTTATTATCCTCAGTATCATACTCTTTATTAGTTTCTATGTGAATTAATTCTGAATTCAACTTTTACCCAGTATATTTGCTAAAAAAATTCTCTACTTGATAAATATCAAAACAAGAAAATTTAGGTTAATGATATAATCTATTACATACAGTAAATTATAATTAAATAAAATTTACCTTTTTCATTAAATTCTGTTTATATAATCTTTTTGAAGTCACTTTATTATTATTTATTTCACTTAACTTTGTTTAAAGTAAAGAAAACAAACTAATTATATATAAAAACTAATGAGACTAAAATAGTAATTAATTGTAAACCTTAAGCATTTGTCTTTTCTTTCTATTTACAAAAATATTATTTAAGTATGATGTAACTTCTTTAATTAAAGTACTTGTATATTTTTAATTCTTTTTTACTGCATATATTTTATACACTGGTCAAAAATTTATAAATACTATACCTATCAGGTGTCTAATAGATAAAAGAGTAATGTATATGTTTATACACTTATTAGATACTTGATAGGTGTGATATTTATAAATTTTTGACTAGTAACAGTAGCAAAAAGCTAAATAGTAATCAAATCAGATATCAAAAAGTACACTATTTATATATAATATATAAGTTTATTAAAAATGTAATAAAAAACTTGAAAATTATAGAATCAAGTAAGTTTTATAAAAAATATATTCATCATGTATTTAAAAAGTTTATTTATACTTTTTATTATCTGTTTTATTAATAGAAAGTTTAAAGAATACTTATATCTTGCTTCATTTTGCTAAAACAGAAAACTAAATACTAACTAAATAGATAATTATACTTCACTATGTTTTACATTTGTGTCACTCACACCTTTGTGTATATATTTCATAGTAACAGAAAGTTAAATAGTAATTACACCAAATAATAAAAAAACATATCATATATCTGAAATTATATAGAGGTATTCTAGTATGTTATATGAACGAAATGTTCAAATAATATATTAAAATTGTCAATTTTAATATGTTATATAAACAAAACATTTGTAAAATGTCCTAGAACAGTACATTCTAGTATGCTATATGAACCAAATATTTATAGAACATTCTAAAACATTATATTTAGTATGCTATATGAATGTTAGTGCTATTTATAGAATGCTATAGAACAGCATTCATATAGTGTCATAGAATATTTTTATTTAATTCCTGATGTAAGTGTTATATATGAAAAAAAATATATTATTTTGTATGGTTTTCAGTTATGAAATACATGTTTATTAGGAAATGAGTAAAAATTTAAAATCTATAGCATCAGAAAATTTTTAAGGACAAATTTATACAGATTTATTTGCAATTAGTAAAAATGAATTATATTTACAAATTTATTTGAATATATTTAATGTAACATATGAATTAATATGGATTAATGTGGATTAATGTGAATTAATACAATTTATGTGGATAAATGTATAAGTGGTCAAATATATCTGAATATATTTGTTCTCCAAAAATTTTCTGATAAGAGAATAATTAGCATTTTCAAAAAGATACACCTATCATGTACCTAAAAGTCCACTATTATATTACTCATTGTATATATATTCTGCCATTTTTTCAGTAATATCTTTTCTATATATATCTATATACCTTGAGAATTTTTGCAAATAGTAATTAAAGAAATTAAATATAAAACTTCAGGAACAGTTTTTTTAAGCAAAAATTATAATAACTTACTATTTTTAATATATTCTCAAGTTTAAGTAAAAATGGATCAATTTAAGTCTGATCAATATTTAACTAATGATTCTGAAAGCTTATATTCTGGAATACCAATTTCTATGGTTAAAATTTATTTCTGTATAACCAAGTTCCTATTGTAGAGGTTCTGCACTGTACATATCTGATATGATCTTCTGGGTTCCTTTTTTGTTTGTAAAGTTTTAAGATAATTTACATATGATACTCCTAATTTTTTTTATTTTTTAGTACCTTGGCCATATGCTACTCAATTATAATTTGCCATTTGAATAAGTACCAGATTTTAGTTCAAATGAAAAATATTTATTCCAATTATTTACTATTATGTCAGAAAAAATATATCTGAAATCATTTAAATAACTCTGGTGATATTTGTGGTCGTAGTTGCCAACGTTCTGAAGGATGTTATGAACATTGGAGATCTAAAAAAGTATTCCCTGTAAAGTTTGTAATAAGCATACTGCCTCTGCACCTGGCCTTTGTAAAATCATGCTGGCAATTATTATACTTCACAATTTTATTCTCACAAAATAAAGCAAATAGAAACTGAGTATAAATCAAAGTATAATGTATTGCGAAGCGTAGCTCTGCCTCTAAAAAAATTGTAAAAATTCCAAAAGCATTATTATAGTTCTTATTATTAAAAAGAGAAAAAGACATATATTATTTTGCTGTAAAAAAACTCTAAAAATCATTTATTATTATCTCATACGCGTTAAATGTAAACTCGAAGTATGAAGTAAATATGAATTTGGCGTAATCAAGCAATACTTAAATTTCCTTTCAAAACGATTTTTAAATTATACTAGATAACTAAAAATTGTATGAAGCAAATCAAAAGTAAAAATCATGGTGGTATATCAAATACACGAAGTCTGTTCTCCCTGCTGCTCCATGATTCAACTTGCAAAATGGGCATCAGTAATTCCGTAATAAACTACTATATAAATTAGGATATTTAATCTAAGGTTTTATTACAGAAATAGGTACGGTCATTCTTTGGATCCTCGAGTTGATGTTACCTTGATTCTGATACCTTTTTTTGAGCTAGAAGAATTAGATGTTGAAAAATCACATATCTCGAATGGTTCGAATGGTGCAGTTATTAAAGTCCATTTGATTTATAATGTACTGGATTTTATTCTGAAATAGTATGAGCACTATACGGAATCTGTTTAATTTTAGCTATACCTTCTCCTCCTCCACCTCCAAATAGTGTAATTAGGTATTGGATGGCATGGGTTTCTTGTACTTTGTGGAGTTGATAATACTTTTTCACAGCTTTCACATGTGCGATTTGGTTTATATGTTATTGCTAATAATATTAAAAGTTTTATATTTTACTAATATTAAATTTTTTTGTTTAAATTAAATTTTTATCTTTATATGAAAATTTGTGAACGTGCCGAGGGGTATTATATTTCGAGAAATTTTCAAAAACATCTTAAAAAAGTCAATAAATTTCGCGGTTAGAGTTTCTGAATATATATATCAGAAAATTTTTATTATTCAAATTGATACAATAAAATATTGAATTAATATCACTAAAAAAGTGTGCAAAAAATGTTTCTTGCGTTATTGAAATTGGCCCCACATGGATTTTAAAATCAAAGAAAAAAGTAAGGATAACGATTTGGAAAATTTAAAGACTATCTAGGTATAAAAAAATCATGCACTTTCTGAAGCAGATTTAAGTTCTATATCATCTCATGTGTGAGGTTAGGGTTTTCTGCACCAATTCGAACAGAAATTTACTACTAAAGGAATTTACTACTAAAGTGTGAATCATTTAAACAAGTAAATAAATAAATAAATATATATATATATATACTAGCAATAAGTGTTATTATATTCTTTGCTACCTTAAAAATTTTTTAAATTAAAATCCAGTAAATTTCAACATATAATATAAAAACCTTAACTGTTAAATGAATAAATAAATAAATTAATTAATAAATAATAACAAATGAATTATTACTTTTCATCTATCATTTCAATACTGGATAATGAATTTTTTGATTCTTCAAAAAGAATAGGATCATCTCCTGAAATGATTATTTTGCCATTACTTAAATATTGTTTGTTGTTGCTTTCAAGATATTCTAATTTATAGTTATAATTTACCATTATACCAAATGATTCATTAATTCCTTTGACTTTATAATTAATAATGGTGTTAAAAAGAGAGATATATTTTTTAATAAAAAAAATTATTTAAATATATTCTATAAAGAGCCAAAAAAAAAAATAATAATAATAAAAGAAAATAAGTTTATATCTTGCCTGATGTATCTCCTAACCAATTTAATCTATAAACACATGCTCCATTGCGTATATGAAAATTAGCTTTGGTTTTGATACAATTTTAAATAATAAAAATGTAAATATTTAAAAGATATTTAAATATTTAAAATAATTATTTTATAGTTAAAAAAAGAACCATTTTTCAAAATTTGACTTACCAACTGGATCAAGAGCAACATTTTTATTTTTTTTATTTTTTTCTGTAATTAAATATCTTGAAGGTTGAATAAATAAAATAATGAGAAGAATTATTTTTTAAAAAACAACAACAACAACAACAATAATAATAATATAATATAATAAAAATAATGATGATAAAAAAAATATTTACCTTGCACAAAACTTCATCAAGATAGGTTTCAAAACATCTTGTGATTTGGTCAACTCATTTAATACTTCATCTTCACTTCCTTGAATTTTTAATTTTACTATTGTCATTTCTTCAGCACTAAATAATAACCATTGTCTATTATTACTATTATTATTATGATCCTTGTTATAAATTATTTCATTCATTAGCCATTGACGAAATCCAGGTATTGGACTTAATGTAGAAAAAGTTTTAAGAGATTTAAATTCGCTCTGTAATTTTTCTACCACTTGTTTAATTAGAATATTTCCCAATTCCATTCCAGATAATCCTGGTTGTGATGTGATTGAATAGAATATTGCACATGTTACTTCCTCATCTGTTAATGACGCTTCTTCTAATATCGACTAACAATTAACAATAATTAATAATTAACAATTAATAATTAATAATTATAATAAAGAAAGATTTTTTATACTTGAACATTTCCTGTAATCTCTTTTGTAAGTGCCACGTGAATAAATGCAAGTGGATAATATGGATCCTCTCGATAAAAGAATGCAAAGATTCGCCTTCCTAAATCCATATTTATATTTATGAATTCAATTAAATTGGTGATTCATGATCTATACACATTTATATTTCATGTATATTACTCTATATAATACATATTTATATATGCATGAAATTTTACCAGGTCCAACTCGTCTAATAAATAAAAAACATAATTAAATTTAAATCATAATTATTAAAGAATTATATTAGAATTATGTCATTGAAATTTCTAACCTCTTCAAATCTTCCCAATTAGTAACAGCATGAACAGCTTCATAATTTCTGATCTATAATTTTTTATTCATGGAAAATCAATCAATCAATCAATTTTTTGCACTTTTTTTTTAGGTTTTTGATTTTGTATAAAAATAAAAATCATGTTTACATTTTCCAAGATGGAATAATGTGAATTCCATGTTACTCTTTTTAGATCAATATTATTTAATACCAATTTTTGTAATTTTTGTCTTAGAGATTTATCGAGAGAAGCTAAACTGACTTCATGATTATTTTCACGAATAAATTTCTTTATATAAGATAACAAAAAAATTTTTAGAAAAATTAAATCAATTATAAAAAAAAAAAAAATGAGAGAGAATATGAAAATGAAAATCAATATACCAACAAATCTGCCCTCATTTCCACCAAGAATTTGATTCCACCAGGTAACTCATTTATACGATTAAAGAAAATGTCATGTAATGGTATCATTGTATGTTGCAAAATCATTTCTGCACGAACTGCAGCTCTTCCATACTAAAAAGTAAAGAATGAATTATTATTATTTTTACCGATTCATCCTTATTTCTTTGAACAAAAAAAAATTAAAATATAATATTTACAGGATCTTTATTTACATATTGTCCAGGAGCTTCATTAGAATTTTCTCTGGACACTCCTGAATTAAATAATTCAATAAATATTTCAGTTAATAAAATGTATATACTGTATATATATGTGTGTGATATATGTATTTATATTTATATTACCAAAATCATTAGCCAAAATATTCAGGAATTTAATCCTATCCTCCTAATTATTATTAAATATATATATATATTATTATAAATTATTTTTTTTTTAAAAAAAAAAACTTTAAATAGAATAAAACTTGAAAACTAACCTTATTAAGATTTTGATATAATTTAATGCATTCTTTTAATTTATTTTCTGGCAAAGAATTATCATTTGTTCTTGAAATAGCACCAGATATTAATTTATTTATTTGTTCTACTTGACTGAATGAATTATTAGAATCAGTTGAATATGTTTTATTAAACAAAATTTTATTATTATTTTTCATTACAATATTTATTTTAGAGTTCTAAAAAATATATATATATATATAACCTTATTTAGTACACAGGGCCTAAAAATTAAAAATTCAGATGTTAATATACTTACTTTATTATTATTATTGTTATTGGTGGTTTTATTAAGAAGAAACCTAGTAGGAATCGATTTAGGAAAGATTCTAATAAATGAAAATTTTGTAAATGTTGATAAACGAAGTGTTTTCGGTAGGAAGGACGACATAATAGTCCTTCCTTATATTTATTAAAAAAAATAAAATAAAATAAAAAATAAAAAAAAAGAATCTACTAAAGTCTTTGAAAATTTAATGAATGAAATAAGTGAAAGGAGTGAAACGATCTATATACCAAAGAACAAAAAATTCTTCGAAAGTGAAAATCGATGAACAACGCATAGATGGATTGTCAGCTAAGATTACACGCGTTAAAATTCTTTGATCTTGTACAACACGCGCGTATAATAATTAAGTTAAGTATGAAACAATAAACTTCGTGGAACTTAAATTTTAACCAAATTAAATTAATCAAATCTATAGTATAATCAGTATAATCAGGTAATCAGGTATATGCTAGCTGAATTAAGAAATACTAAAAATTGAGCTCGTTAAAATTCTTTCTCCGAGGTCAAACTTAAATTCTTAAATTCGTGAACTGAGATCAAATAACATATATATATATGTGTGTGTATATGTAACTTCTAATAATAAAGATAACTTTCTAAGAATTGGGAACGATAATGACGATATATGAATGACAAATTTTTATAATTATCATTTTATTCTTATTATTCTTATTTTTGTGACAATTTATGATAAATTTAAAGTAATTAATTATGGTACAATCGCCAAAAATGTGTGAAAATAATGAAAGAAACGCGCTTATATTTTATTCTATACATTATTTTATACATTATTTATACATCCTTTTAAAGAGAGAACAAATTAAAAAAAAGCCCCTATCATATCACTTAAATGATTAATAAATAAATAAAGTTGCTGAACAAGAAATGACAAACCGTTATGGCGTCATTGTTTAAAAAGCAGCATGTTTAAATTTGAATGGGTAAATGAGTATAAATTTGCTTAAATTAATACTGCATGTAAACAATTTGCGGCAATGATTCACATTTATGCGTTAATGAAAGAACGCGTGAAACAATAATGAATACCATTATTTAATCATTAGATACATCTTTATTATTATTTATTATTATTTATTATATTAAATTATAATAAAACAAGTGAAATTATTTCTCTTTTCTCTCTTTAATAAGGAGACACAATACCGGAGTGTACCAATTGAATAAAAATAAATAAATAAATAAATAAAAAAATGAATATTTAAAATAATTAGAACATTTGGATGGAAATATATGGAAATATTAAAAATATTAAAAAAAAAAAATTTTTTTAAAATGATTTTTGGGAGTGGGAAAATTCATCTAAATTATTTAAATCGAATAACCTGAATAACACCTGAAATTGAATTTTTTAATATCTACTCAATATACTTAATATCTGGTATACTTTTATTATCAATCATACATTCAATTATTGAGAATTATCTAAAAATAGTAAAGAGACAGAATTTTTCTTTTGCATACTTATTTATTGGTTGTAACCAGGAAAAAAATACCAGGTATTGCCAATTACTACATTACTTTATTTCTTTCATTACACTTATAAATAATAAATAATTAATAATTTGGTGATAAAAATAAATAGTAAACTGATAATAATAAACCAATAATTTATATATAAATATATATAAATATATAAACAGTACACAGTTGGACAAGTCGGATATGCCAAGAGACTGAATCACAACAGGTTGACTGTTATAACTGATGATAGTTTTCGATTGAATTATATTTTATTTTTGATATAATTATTATATTGATTTATTATTAAGTATTTTTTGATTTAAGTATGATTGAGTGTGATTGAAGTATTGATTGAAATCATTCGTTATTGTTGTTATCATCGTTATCGTTTTGGTCGTTATCATTATCAAAAAGTATATCATAGAAAATTATACTAGCTTTAATTACCTTAATTAGACTATAACGTGTATTTCTTTTTTAACTTAATTACATGGAACTAAACCATAATTGAAAATTGGATTTTTGTAAACCTAAATTTAGAATGCTTGAAATATCTATATTTTCTATTTTTTCTATTTTTCCTCATTATAATCAGATGAATTTTTGGCTTATACGAGGAGGAAATCTTACGTTGTAACACTTGGTGGCGCGCGTTCCTCCTTTTTTTTTTCTTTTATATCTTTATTAATCTCTTTTATTAATATCTTTTTTTTTTTTTTGCGACTTTGTCATAAATCTGCATTTTAACTGCTCCAAGTAAACATTTTGCACTACATGACACTGCACGATGAGAGCAGATCATGAGATCATTATCGGAATGATTAATAAAAAATATATTTACTTTATTTATATAATTTATATAATCTATATAATTTATATAATTTATATAATTTATATATAGTATCTATTTATCTTATTTATAATTTTATCTTATTTATCTTATTTATAATTTTATCTTATATATAGTATAAAAAATAGTTTAAAATTAGTTTATTCAACTCATTATATACTTACTATACTTGCTTAATTTACTTTCATATGTTCGTAGTTTGTGTATGTGTTCATCATTTGCATCAATTACATAAATTAGTCATTTATTTTATTTTTTTAAAATTATAAAAAAAAATATACAAATGATAATGTAAAAAAATATCCCGCTTTTGATATATAAAGAATAGAATCTTTCATTTTCATTTCTCTTAATTTTTTTTTATTTGTTTTTTTTAAGAGAAAAAAATAAATTTCGCTTGAGTTGTATGTATGTAAATTACACCTAATAGTAATAATATCATAATAATAATATTATCATCATTATTATTATTATTATTATTATTATTATTGTTGCTAATATTCTTATACACAGAGTAGAAAATAAATAACAAATCGTAAAAGATTAATAAAACATGTTGGATATAACTGGAATGTTAGCTGAAAGTTTGGAAGCTCTTAATTCAAACCAATCAAGAATATCATCGGCATCATCATCAACGACGACAACGCCGACAAACCCGACATTCACAATAAATTATGATTCCTCCCCATCAAATTATGGACTTTATGAATTTTATGATTATTCATCACCAACATTAAATTATGATTTAGATGATCGTTATTCTTCAACGAATACATTATCTACACTTTCTTCATCAACGATTGATTTTGTTCCAACCTTTGATCCTAAGTTTGATTATGATAATAATTATAATAAAAATAGTGACTTCAATAACAATTATTATTACAATAATGATGACAATAACTACTGCGACAATAATAGCGAAAATAATCGAGACAACAATAATAATATTAATATTAATCATAATATCAATAGTAATAATAATAATAATAATAAAAATCGCAAGTTAAAAGTAAAAAATAATCGACATTTTAAAATAGTTTGTAGTAGTCGTCCACCACCACCATTATTACTTCCTTTAGAGACAATTGATAAAGATGATATTGCATTTGAAAGATTAATTAATCTCGATGATAACATTCAAGTCTCTTATGGTAAAAGTAATTTTGATGTAATAATTAATATCGGCGAAGAACCAAATATTAAAAAATTTAGAACCCATTCTGTTATATTGAGCAAACGATCTTCTTATTTTCGAACTGCTCTATCAAGTAGATGGGCAAAAAAACAAGGTGACATTTTTTTCTTTGATAAACCCAACATGACTCCTAAAGTATTTACTGCCATCCTCAGGTAAATATATATATCTATTTTTATTATTATTATTATTATTATTATTTTCTTTTCTTTATTAACATGATTTAATGATAATTAAAGTTAACTAAAGTTAATTCTTTATTATTATTATTATTATTATTATTATTATTAGGTACTTATATTTTGGTAATGCCAAATTAGAAAGATTAGATGTATCTACATTATTTGATGTCTTGGTAGCGTCCGATGAATTAATATTAGAAGATTTCACCGACGAAATACAAAAACATATCATGCATCTTGAATCTAATTTATTAAAACCTAATTTAATTCAAAGAATAATCACTTGTTATAACAATCAATCTTTCAATAAATTGTTACGATATTTATTGAAATTAATAAAAATTGATCCTTCTTTCTTAATATCACAAAATGATATTTATTTATTACAAGAAAATATATTAGAATTTATTATGGAAGAATCTCGAGAACAATTGGATGATTGGATGAAATGGAATTTTATAATTAAATGGGGAATTGGTCAACAACAAAATTTGGTATTAGCCGACATTGATAATTGGTCAAAATCTGATTTCGAAAAATTAAATAAAACCATTCACTCTTTACTTCGATTTATTAGATTTAGTCATATCCCAAGGAATTATATCGTAGATCAAATTTTACCATTTATTTCTTATTTTAAAGAAATTGATAATGAAACAGTGAGATATTATTTAGACATTCCTCAACCACTTAATATAGATTCCAAACATCCTTTATTTGATATTGATTTAATTGATTCTAATTTAATAAATCATACTCACGCGTCACGGATAGCAGATTGGATTGACACCGGAAAGAGTCTTAAACCTAGACCTAAAATTAAATCAAAGAAATTTTCACAGAGATTTTCATTTTCATTTTTATTTTCATTTTCATTTTTTCGACGAAAAAACAAAAATAATAACAAAAATATTAGTGATAAAAATAATAATAATAATAATAACGATAATAATAATAATAATAATAATAATAATAATAATAATAATAATAATAACAATAATAATAATAATCGCAACAATAATATATTAAAATCACCACCTCCACCACCAAAGAAACCGCAATACAAATTTAATCTATTATATCGAATGACTCAAGATGATCCATTGACATATCACGAGAAATGTTTAAAACAGGAACCAACATTTGTGATTGTTAAAGCTCGAAGTCCTATTGAGGAAGGAGGTGGTGGACCTATATTAATAGGAGGGTATAATCCTGTAGGATTTAATAATAATTATGTAAATATTGATTCACCATTATCAAAACAAGCATTTATATTTTCATTTGGAGATGGTAAAGCATTAGAGAAAGCACGAGTAAGTAGAGTGAAAACTGATTGGTCAAGGATGGTTATTGATTTCTCAAGTATTAGTCCAAGCTTTGGTTTCGATAATTTAATTGTTAATTTTAATGATATGAAAGGAACCTTATTAAAATCGGATATTTTAGAATATGAAATCTTTCAAGTTTTGGAACCGTGAACTTTAAAATATAATATATATATATAATAAGTAGATAGGGAATATAATAACTTAGTTAGGAAATCTTGTATATAGATAATATTGTTTTTATTATTTAAATATTCTAAATATTATTATTATTTTTATTTGTTTTTTTTTTTTTTTTTTTGTATAGATTTTTTTATTATTTAATATTTCTTCTTCCTTTTCACATACACATAAATAGAATTCTTGTTTTATCATTTTTCATTTTTCATATATCATTTATCATAACATATATATAATCATTTACGCACATACACATATTCAACACTTTGCACAATTCTGGTGATATTCCTTGTAAATTTCTTTGTAAAATAAATAAATAGATTTTTTTTTTAATAATAAATAATAAATATAAAGTGAATTTATTTATAAATGAAAAAAAAGAATGTTCCGATTTAACATGGATAATAACATGACTTTAATAATAACTTAAAACTTTAAATAACTTAATTAAACTTTAAATGAAGTAACGCGTTGAATGTAGATTTTTGTTCGTCCTTAATCAATTTTCAGGTTTATTTTATTATTTTATTATCTTATTATTTTATTATTTTATTTTTTTTATCATAATGTATTAAAGTTATAGAAATTATCCTTTTATCCGTCCATTTCGGATTATTCCCTCTTTTGGGATTTTTCCGATATAAATCAATTATACAAAATTGTTATACAGTGTATACTTAATATGGGATTCTCATTCCCGATTACAATTGCCAACAATTACATGTAAAAAATTTGCAAAAAAAAAAATTTCCGAAAGAATAAAGAAATTCTATGCATTCAAACATGTTTCATCTTTTGCATCTTTTGTTGAACAAGTTAATGAAAATTGAATCTCGTGGACTGAAAATAAACATGAAGAAGATCCATTAACCATTATTATGTAAATATTTGAGGAATTATAAAAAAAAAAAATTGTATACAATGCCGCATAGAATTTAAGAATATTTAAAAAAGAACCCTTCCTAAATTATACCTATTGTTTTTAAAAAAAAAATCCAAAAAAAGGAAAATTAATGATAACGGATGAGACAAGACGAATTTCATTTCTATTAATGGATCTCTATTCACCACACATACATATATGCTATATGCTATATAGATTATATAATATAATATTTGTGTTTACTGTGTTTACATTAAATATGCACATTGGATTTATCACAACTCTTTTTTTTGTTTGAATTAATTAAATTTAAAAGAAATAAGTAATATTCCCGTGTGATTTCAAGGAGTTCTAGAAAAAGTTTCGAAATCGTTTCGTAAAAAAAAAAAAAAAAAAGAGAAATAAATAACATTATATGCATCAACTATCTGGGGTTTCAAAAGTTGTTTTTTTTTTAATATACCAAGCAATTTTTATTCTTTATTAGCATTAGATAATATAATTCATGTTACATTTTCGAATACAGTACACATAAACATATTTCAAGTACAGTATTACGAAAGCCAACCTTTGTAATATTATAATAAAGTCCAAAACTTTATATTTTTACTTTATATATATATATATATATTAATTTAATTTAATTCACATGATAAACCCTTAATTTTAATTTTTATCATCTCGATTATCAGTACGTAATACGCGATTAGCGGCCATAAACCTAAAAAGATAAATATAAAAAAGAAAAGATAAATATAGAGATAATTAATTATAAATAATATATAAATATAAATTAATATATAAATATAAATTAAATACAAATGTAACGATAAATATTAAAAAAATATATTATATATATATATATATATATTACTTACAAAGAACTGTGAGCAATTCCGAAATTTTGTATACTTTTAATTTGTTCAGAAGTAATTTCAATATTCTGTTCCATAATTAACATATTTTGTTGTAATCTAGCAAATTGGTTATTAAGTGAAGTATAAAGTTTTCGCTTTGCTATAAAATATTTTTTAATAAAAATAATAATAATTATTTATTTTTGTTGTTGTTTGTCATTATTATTTTTTTTTTTAAAAATAAATTACATAAATTACCTGATTCGCTTCCACGTCGTTGTAGTTGTTGTTGAAGTTGTTGTTGTGGTTGTAGTTGTTGTAGTTGTGGTTGTTGTTGTTTATCCATTTTTATTATATTTATTATTATTATTATAAAGGACTTGATAAAAATATTTCATCAAAAAAAAAAAAAAATTATTATAAACATTTATACAAGTCAGGTGATAAAAATAGAATCCCACTAATTCTCTTATCAACATTTATTCAACGACACGTGTACCCATATTTTTTTTTTTTTAAAAAAAAGGAAATAAAAAGTAAGGCGAATCATTTTTTTTTATTCGTTTTATTGATCCTTTTTTTTAAAGAATAATCTCCATCATCAAGCCGTTGAGTCCAAATATTTCATTATTATATTATCAATGAAATAATTTGGAATTTAGAGCTTGATACAATTAAAACCTTATCAGAGTTTTTAGTAAGGAATAAAAGACTAATTTCCCTCTACCATAGCAAGTGTCAAATCCCAAATTATTTTACTATGCTGAAAATAATTTGGGTTACATGTATAAATCATAGTAACTTTTTTAAAAAAATGTGAATTTTGCTTATATAGAGATTTTTTTTCCATGTGTTCACAGTAATAGGTTTTAAAATAGTGTGCTTATAAAGAGAATTTTATATGATGTGCCTATAGAGGGGTCTGACTTATACATGTTTGCCATATTATTTTATTATATTTATAATTTATTTATTTTATGATATATTTTATTTATATTTATAATTTATTATATTTATATTTTAACAAAATAATCAATGAGATTTAAGAGATATTTATAATATGATATTGGAAAAATGAATAATTTAAATTTTATCTATTTTAAATCTTAAAATATAATTGTAATTATAGATTAAAATTGTAATTATAGATTAAATAAGTTATTAAATTTTGAAAAATTTTTTCTGTCAAATATATTTTAAATATTCAATAGTAGACGACGTGGATCTTCAACTTGTTCTTTAATAGTTTTCAAAAATGTAACAGCTTCACGTCCATCAATTAAACGATGATCATACGTAAGGGCAACATACATCATTGGACGAATTTCAATCTATCATATAATTAATATATAAATGTAATCAATATTAATATAATTAATATAATTAATATAATTCAATCTTTAATAATTCTTTGTTTAAATTTACCTTCCCATTAATTGCAACGGGACGTTCTTTCGTAGCATGCATTCCCAATATTGCACTTTGTGGAATATTAATGATTGGAGTTCCAAGAAGTGATCCATAAACTCCCCCATTAGAAATAGTAAATGTACCTCCTGCCATATCTTCAATTGACATCTTTCCATCACGTGCCTAAATCATGAATCTATCAGGAATAAGTTATGTTCTTATTTTAAAATATTTTATAATTAAAAAATATATATATTACCTTTTTTCCTAAATCTGCAATGGTCTTTTCAATTTCCAAAAAAGACAATAGATGTGTATTACGTATTACAGGTGTCACGAGACCTTTTGGAGTGGCAACCGCCACACTCATATCAACATAATCCCGATAAATAATTGTGTCTCCAGTTGAAGAAATAGAGGCATTCACTGAAGGTATTTCTTGAAGGCCAACCACTGACGCTTTTACAAATGCAGACATGAACCCCAATTTAATCCCATGTTTCTTAAGGATCGCATCTTTATATGTATTACGAAGTTCAATAATATTACTAGATAACAAAATTGTAATTATCAGTATTATAAACCAACCTAGTTTAAATAAAAATTCTTTAAAGGACTTGTAAATTGCAAATCACGAACCTCATATCAATTTCATTGAATGTTGTCAAGGATGCCGCTGTATTTTGTGCTTCTTTCAGACGTTCAGCAATTCTTGCACGCATCCTGGTCATTTTAACCTAAATAAAAAAGTTTAGAAGATTAACAAGTTGTATAGATTTGCTCATCTTTAATAAAAAGAAGAATTCATGCATACTTCACGTTCTTCACGACCACTAATGAAATCATTGACTTTATCTAACTTTATTGCTTTACTTGTTGATATTTCTGATACAGTTACTCGAGGTTCTATTAAGAATTTAAGTATAATTCAAAATTAATTGAAATAATTTGGAGGTCATAAAATTACTTGAAATAATCAAAAATACCTGGTTGTACAGATTTTGTTGGTGGTGGTGATGGAAGTTGCTCTTTTATTGCCTCTTGTTTGGACTCTTGTTTGGGCTCCTGTTTGGACTCTTGTTTGGGCTCCTGTTTGGACTCTTGTTTTGGTTCTGGTTTAAGCTCTTCTTTAGGTTCTGGTTTAGACTCTTCTTTTGGTTCTGGTTTAGACTCTTGTTGGGATTCCGGTTTTGGAACATCTGTCTCAGGACCTATTTACATATATGTATTTAATTAAATAGTTTACACACAATCTTAAACATGAAAACATGAAAATTTTAATTAACATACTAGTTGTTGCACCATCTTCCAACAACTCAATTTTGAAAAGATCTTGAGATACCACAACAGTATCTTGTTCATTTGCATATATTTCAATTATTTTGCCAGAATAAGGTGAATTAATAGGGGCATCAACCTTGTTTAATTATTAAGTAAACAGTTAAAGAATAATCATTTTTCAAAAAAAAAAAGAGAGAGAAAGAAGAAAGAAGAAAAAGACATTATACCTTGTCAGTCTCGATAGTTGCTACTTCTTCATCTTGTTGAATAAAATCTCCAACCTCTGATTCAAAAGTAATGTTAATAACTTGATAATATATATATATATATAAATACCATATGTGAAAAACTGAGGAAGTGAAAATTCTTTTACTTTTATTCCATTTTGCAAGTGTTCCTTCTGTAAGAGATTCAGCTAAGGAAGGAACCTTAACAATTTTGCTTACTAAAATTCATAAGAATTAATAGGTTAGATAAAAAACAAATCAATTTACAAATAATAAGAAGAAAAAAAAAATGGAAACTCACCATATTCTCTAATCAATGTTTTTTTCGCGAATAATGATGATAAGGCAATATTTCTGGAGGATAAATAACCGGAGAATCAGAATCGCAACTTCACCTCCATATTGCAATTCTTTTGCGTTAAACATTTTTTAAATCAACATTTATATTTTGCCAAAAAACTTTTGTTTTAAAGTGATACTATTTATAACTGAAATAGATCATAATAAACAAATTTCTTTTTTCCTTTCGTTATAAAACATCTGAAGATACCCACCTTGGGCTTTTCGAACAGTTTAAATTGGTAGTTTTGGAAGTTTCATAAGTGAATTTTCGTTTTGAAATCAAAAATGGATCTCGAGAGATGGAAAAACTTGAGGTCAGTTTAACGCAATAACGCAGAGAACCGGCCATTGAATTACTAGAAATAGCTCTTCTTAAAATATTAAACTGCATCTTTAGGATCTTATAGTAATGTCGCGTGTAAAGAAATAAAGATCAAAAATTAAGGTTCGAAATAAGTAATTTTTTTATTATTTAATAATCGATCTACAGATCTACTAATGATAACCAGAAACGATAATCTTTAATTTTACTATTTATAGACTCATATAAAAAAAGAGCAATAATCTGGTGTAATATCTTAAATCACTTATTTATAAATTCTTAACCAGAATTATGTCTAAATAATAAATAATATAAGAAAATATCAGATACCCTTTTATCGGACAAGAAAACAGTATATTCCAAGGATTGATTCTATCTACTGTTCTTTTCACAAAAAATACTGTCCAATAAATTTGAAATAAAGATACAAATTAGAGTTTCCTTTCTAAACGAAAACAAACCTTACACAATTTGAATTAAAAAAAAAAGATTGGATTAGATGTATTAAAGAATCAATCTCAATTAATGAATAAAATAAATAAAGATTATCTTAAAACAAATAAATAAAGGACGGCCTGTATTACATATCTCGTTTCGCCATTTTATTTTCTTGCATATACAAAAATCAATGTGTAACGCAATAAACCAGTGATAAAACTTTTAAGTCACATAAGTAAATATGAAATTTATATTTTCATTTGTGTGGTGTAGGAAAGAATACGTTTTTGGAACATGCTTTGCTAAAAACATTTTAATATAGTGTCAAGGTCACTGCTTTCTTTTTTCTCCCAGCTACCCGTTATACTTATTTTTTTTTGGCGTCAAATAAGTAAATGGTGCGCATTTTCACTACTATCTGGTGCATGGGTGCTCTGAATAGAACTTTTCAGATCGGTCAAACTCTTTCAAGTAATTCCTAATGATAAAGCAGTATAACAATAAAAATTTCGTAAATAAATAAATGTAAAAAGTTAATGTAATATAGTTAGATCAGAATCTTAAAATTTGCGAAACACTAATACAGATACAGATCGTAGTACGAACCCACTTCAAACAGCATTGGTCAAACAATTATTTCATTATCTGTGAATGCAATACTTACCATACTTTTTTACAATCTTATTAATTATAACCTATACTTACCATACTTTTTTACAATCCTATTAATTATAACCTTTAACATCTAATTTTATCATTAAAAGTGCCAGTTCGGTGATCCACTGACTTCACAAATGGATCATAGACACGATCTTCGTCATCATATTTTTGACTTTTTTCGTTCCCGTGATTTCGCGTGTCACACTCATGATATGTAATAAAAATTTGGTCAATATAAATGTCTTCTTTGCTCGATCTTGTTGGAAGGTCTTCTCACCTTGTCTTACGTACTCTCCAATCAAGAAAGGTATGACGATAAACTGTACGGTACGAAAAGAATTCATACTTCTAGTTGTTATTGGTCAAATTTAGGGTTAGGTCACGGGTATAAATTCTTTTTTGTGTAATGTATAGTACAAAATAGCTATCTGTATTAACCAATTATATTTGAACGGTTAATTTATTAATTAATTTAATAGCCAATCAAAATGAAACTTGCCAAAGTTATAAAGATTATCAATCAAGTCGATCAAGTATCATTTCTTTCTAAAATGATAGATCATATTTTAGGCAAACCATCTCCTTCCTGGAAAAGAATTCAAGTGTTTCTAGTCTCGATCTCATGGCATGAATCAAATCACCTTTTATTATTAATAGAGTTTATATCTGAAATTAATTTATATTTAATTTTTAGGTTTTACTACTTAATCACAGTTGATCGAAGAGGACCAGCTTTCTTTCGGAAATTGAATGATCGATTATGTAAGTCGATTACCTAAACTGGGGAAAATTTCTTTTCAGCACAAGATTAAAATTATTCTGTTATTTTTAATAAAATAGCGAAATTTTCACCCTTTCAACTTATTGCCGGTACTCTGGCGATGATTTACATGTTAAAAAATGTTGATCGAATGGTTGGGTTTGGGGGTAAGTAAATATCACACATCATTTTCTTTCAATTACATATACTTACGAAAACTATCGATTAAATTATCATCAGCACCCGAACCACTCGCACGACTTGTAAGTTATTTGAATTTTGTATTCAAAATGTTTTCGGTCAAACTTCTTATAATTCCTTGTTATTAATGTAAATCATAGTATAGTCGCAATTATTATAGAGCCACATGGATTATTACTGCATTAGATGCCGGTTTTTGGACTGCCATGACAATTCGTCCAAAATTTCTAAGAGATATTATGTCTCTCGTTTTTGCTTTATATTATTTGATCTTTGCGGATCAGGCAGATGAAAAGGTGTGCACTATTAACACTATTAGCAATATTTTTATTTCTTATATTAATTAGAATAAAAAAATAATAATTCAGGAACATCATATAATAGGCTCGTCGTGTACGTTCTGTTGTTACTGTTGAGCATATACGTGTAGCATGGGAAAAAACCTTAAATCCGTGTTTACATGCGCTTATCAAATTATCATTTCCACCTTTAACCATTAATAAAAAAATCTTAATTCCTCGTCCCCAAAAAAATTCACATGGGACAAAACCAGTCAGTGGTTATTTATATTATGCCGGATCTAAAGAAAGTTTTGAAAATTGTGATAATCTTATTATTAATTATCCCGGAGGTGGATTCGTCAGTATGTCACCTCCATGTCATGACTATTTACCTCAATGGGCAGCCAAAACCAAATCACCTATTATAAGTATTGATTACGGTAAAGCACCGGAATACCCTTATCCATATGCTTTGGAAGAATGTTTTGATGTTTATCAAAGCATTGTAGAAAGCAATGGAGAGGTGATTGGGATGGCCGGTTGGAAGGATAAAGCCATTAATGAAAGGAAGAAAATCAAAATAGTCTTGGTTGGTGATTCTGCGTAAGTCCCAAAATTATTAATTTTTTTTTATGATGGTTGGTTTTATACTTTCACTTTTAGTATCTCATTTTTCCATTTATTGAAATATTTTAGCGGAGGGAATCTAGTAACATCAGTCATGTATAAAATCCTAGAATCCCCAACACCGCTTCCTCACCCAACTGGTCTTATCCTTGTATATCCATGTTTAGATTTTAATATTGCGTGTTGGATGTCTCCGTCTCAATTATCTGCTATAAGAGCAGAATCTACGAAATCAATCCCTGGGGTATTGGAATCTAAAGATCATTTAAGTCATAAAAGCCCTTTATCAGTGGTTCCAGATGTTAAAAGGAATAGATGGAGAAAAAGTTTGGCAGGATCAACCGAAGATGAAAGGACTATTGAAGAACGAGTTCAAGTAATTGAAGGTCATAGCGTGACTGAACACCGTAGTGATAAAATCCCACGTCCAGTTATCGGGACCAGATTAGCAATGACTAGTCGAATGAGTTTTTTTAATGACAGAATTGTTAATCCCGATCTAGTAACTATTACAAATTATTTTGTGTTTTATAACTATTTTATTTAATTTTATTTAACACTGTTGTCTTCTAGATGCGCGCAATGGCCATACTTTATATTGGACCTAATAATTATCCCGACTTTGCATCAGATTACTTACTTTCTCCCATCATTGGTCCAGATGAATTATTGGCTCAATTTCCAAAAACGTATCTTATGTGTGGTGAAAAGGACCCTTTCGTTGATGATACTGTAGTACTTGCTGGTCGTATACGCGAAGCTAAGCGAAAGAAAAAACAAATGAATAAGGGGAAATTTGGTGAAGGGTTGAGGATGAGCGGTTTAAACGAGCTTGATAAGCCAGACGATTCTGAAAACAACTGGGTGGAGGTTAAGATTCTTCAAGGAATTAGTCACGCATTTTTACAGATGTATCATTTATTACCAGAAAGTAAAGGCGCCATAGGGGCATGTGCACTATGGATGCTCGAATGCTTTCGAGATTCACCGCAAACAAACAACATTTTAACATCGAATGTAACAATCAAAAATGAAAATGATGAAAGACTTATATTTGGACCTCATCATTCAAATACTACCAAATTCACGCAAAATACACAAAATGATACAAATATTTCATCCCAGATATCGGACAACGTCGAAAGCCCGTCAATAAATCAAGTTTCAAATTCAATATCAAATGCATCAAGTGAAACAATTCAAAAACAACCGGTTGACACATCAGAAATTGATGTTTCCGCTTCACGAGTTATTTTGTCACCGGGACATGAAAGAGAGCGTGTTCTTTGGGAACAACAAAATATATTACATGAACATGAAATAATGAATAGAAGACGCGAGACTTTAGTAAGAAATCTTGCTGATTGATCGGCAAATAATTTGTATAATAAAATTAATTTTTTTGGTTGAGATTAGTGATTTATCAATAGTTTAGATTGTATATTAGTTTTATATTATATGAACATTTTATTTATCTTCCGTGTACATGAAGTAAATTTGTTTTTAATAAATTAAATCAAAAATCTAATTTAAGTGGTGATCCGTCTAAGTCTGCAGCAAATCATATGTATAGTAAATTCAGTCAGGGATTTTACCAAATCTAATTTTGTGTAACAGATCTGCTTATACCTATTCTAAAGTAATAAAAAAATGTACAAGTATATAATTATTGAATCCACTTTTGTTAAAGATATATTTATTTATAGTAATGATACAATATAAATAATAATAAATAGAAAACTTTTAGTAAATAAAAATTATATTATATAATTTTCCATATATTCTAATTTAAATTTTAGAATTATTACATATGAATTTCACATTTGATAAAACACCAGGTTCCTTTATAAAAAAACATTTGGTAGGATTTTCTAATTCACAAATCCAATTTTAAATTTGAATTAGAACATAAAATAGAACCAAATGCTCATATAAGTTTAAATAAACAAAGATTTTGATATAACAATACAAATTTCAATAAGAATAAATACTTGAATATTTATTCAAATGGTAATTTTTTAGTCATTATCTTTAAATATAAAATATTATTTATAACATATTTAGAAAATACAAGAAATATATAAAAATATTAAAGTATAAGATAATTATAAGTTTTAAATTTATTTTTAATAAATAAACTTGTACATATATATATCTTATAATTTGAGAACCCATTCTTGTATATACCATTCAAATGGATAAAATTAGTTTTCTTAACCTTTTTTGAAATTAATATTAATTGAAATTTTACAAATACTATATTTATCAGGTACTAGATAAGTATATAGTAGTTGTACTGAAATTCAGATATATATTTAAGGTTACTAGGTGAAACTCTTAGATTTTGTCAATTCAAAAAACTAACAAAAGGTAAAGTTTTGATAAAACCTTATTAAATACTTATTAATAAGTTAGATATAACTTGTTGAAAGTCAAAACTAAAACATATTAAATTATAGTAAAAATTTTGGAAAAACATAGGTTTTACCTTTTGCTAAATTGCAAAATAGATTTTAATAAGCAACCTTACAGATATTAGATATTTGATATGTATAAAAAAAGTTTTTACATTTACTAGATATTCAATATATTAGAAAATTATTTTTTATACATATTGGATATCTGATAAATGCTCAAATTTCAACACAACTATTGTTATTTATTTAATATAGTATTTGTGAAATTTTAACTAGTACAATATCAAATTATTTAAGTAAGTATTTTTTTAAGGTTTGTAAAAACACAAGTAAAGTAAATTAGTAATATTAATAATTAAACAAATATATTTATAAAAAGAACTTTTTTCAATAAAGATTTTCTTTCATTTTATTAAGTATCTAAAAAAAACTGAAAAAAAAATAATAATTATTAAATGAATAGGAAAATTGATTGTCATACAAGCTTACAAGTTTTTATATATGTAAACTTACATATATAAAGTTAAAATTTATAAAATAAAAATTTTATTAAAATAAAATTATTTGTAATAGTATGTTTGATATAATTAGTATAATTTAAATTATTTACTATGTAAATCCATAAAAATTTCTTCACAGGTAGATTTCTCAATTACATTGTATTATAAAATTTAACTCATTTTATTTTTACTACTTATATTTTTCAACTCTAGCTTTTTTTGAGTAAATTATTTTTAGTAATACTAAAAAGACATTATATAATTTTATTATTTTCTTTTTTTTAAATTATAACTCTCAATAATTTTATTATTTTCTAATGTTTAATTCATTTATTTTTCCATAATAATATTAATACAAATTTTATGTTAATTTACTTAAGTACTTGTTTTTCAATTTGAATTACTTTTTGATATTTGATATAATTAAGTTAAAAATAATATCCTTATTTATTTTTACAAGTCCTTAATATTATAAATTTTTTAGATAAAATTGTAATATAAATACAATTGTAATATAATTTACAATTCTATAATTAATTATGAACTTTTGTATAATAATATCTTTTTATTTCAATCAGATAATTTTTAGTCAAAGTATCTTAAAACAAATTTATTAATTGAAAATTAATTCAAAAATAATATATACAACTTTAATTTTAATAAGTAGATATTATAATTATATCTTTTGTAAAAGTTTCAGACCTTATACTTTAAAATTGAAATAACTATAAATGTTTAACTTAAATATTTAAAAATTCACATAATTATTGTAATCTGCAATTCATAATTACAGATATTTAATAGTGATTTGAAAAATAATTTGAATAACATGTATAATTGCTGATAAAAAACTACTGGGGTATTTTTAGAAATAAATTTTCTTTTTGGATTATTACGTAGAAGCTAGCCGACCTTCAACAGACAGGGTTGTGATCATATTTAACACGCACGAAAACATCTGGTGCTTTAGACTGAATTTTTCATTCAAAAAAAACGGGAATTATCTTTAATTATGATTTTGCAAATAGTTTGATAGTTAAAAAGTATTGATTACGAAGTAGTGTTTTTTTTAAACAGTGATCAATTGTCTTAGAATTTACACTAATTATCAGAAATGAGCATTGTCACTATCTTTCGATTAAAAGGAATTTGTAAGGTGATAGTGGCAAGAAGGATGCGATAACAGTGATAAATCTTTGTAAATGAGGAAATACTTAAAGTTAACTCAAAAACAGAATAATTAAACTAATCAACGAATAAAGTGAACATCTGTTAAGACAATTAATAATCAAGCAGACAATTAACAATTATTTATTATTAAACAATACTAACAAAAAAATATACAGGTCCTTATATATTAAATTCCTATATATCTAACGTTACATTTTAATCAATAACAAAAATATCGTCGTCGTCAGGTTTCCTTTTGGTTCCTCGTTTTTTGTTATTTTCATTACTCAAAGCCGTTTTGGTTTTAACAGGCTGCTTTTTAGCATCATCCGACTTTTTAGTTTCACCATTGACCTTTGATTTTCCCTTTCCTTTTGCACTTCTGCCTTTTTTTTCACTTTCCCGTTTTGAAGCTTCATCAACTATTCTATTGAATTCTTCTTCGACACCCTAAAAAGTGACGATAATTTTATATACATTAACATGTGTAAATAAATAAATTAAATAAACCAAATAAATTATATTTAATTGAGCATACTTACCTCCCACTCTTCCGAGAATTTGTCCAAGTCAGCACACCAAAGTTCTTTCGGGTGTGTTTGACGTAATACTGAAAGTTCTTCACATTTTTGTTTATATTGATCATCACATTTTTGGGCTTCTTCTTCACTGAAACTCCATGCAGGTGTTCTCATAAGATAATCAAATCCATTTCTATTTTCGCTTTCTCCCTCTGTATCAGAATCGTCTTTACTAGTAATTCGATCGAATCCTTTTGAATCTAGTAAATTTACGATTGCAACCTTTTTCATTCCTTCAAATTTCAGGTCGCCATTAATTTTCATCTTAATGAATCTATTTTTATTCTGTAATCTTTTACATTCATGCTCGATTTTCTTTACTAAATAATCCTATTTCAAAAGAAAGTTAGCATTAAAAATTAAGATGAATTCATTTATTATATAATTATATACCTTTCTTTTGAAATAATATTCTAATCTAAGATGATAAAATTCAGTAAGAATTTCTTCAGCCGACCCAAATTTTTTCAGACGACCTTCTCTGTCAAAACACACCATATTAGAAGTTGAGAGGTTGGAGCTGGTCTTGAATTTTTTTTCGAGTTCTTCATCAGGATCATTAATCAACTCGTCTTCTAATGTAACTTCAAAATTTGGTCTCCAGAAAGTACTTTCATCGTGATATTTCTATTAAATTAAATATACATTGTAAATATGTTTGAAATCGGTAGGTTTCACACTAAACCAATCAAGTAATATTTTTTTTAGTTCATACCTTAATATACCCGGTTGTTTTATTATCATCGCCGCCCATCATTTTCTTTAACTCATTTTCGTAATTATGCGTCCAAGTTTTAATTGGTAATTCTGTAATATGAATCACGGATTCATCTACGGTATCTCTTTCGATAATTCCGCTAACTTTATACTTATCACGCCCTATTTTTTCAATTTTTCCCTAAATAAAAGATGTTAACGACGTGTTAGCACTTATATTATTATTATCAATGAATGAAAATCTTTTTTTAATGTATATATTAAATAATAAATACCATAAAGCCACGATACCAGGGGGTCATGGGCACTAACTCTTTTCCTGCCATTAAATTTTTTAAATTTTCGACGATATCATTAGGATTATAATTTGGAATAGAAGTACTCCAGCCTAGAGAAAAAAAAATAATTAAATTAATAAATTGACCAGAAAAAACATTTAGATGTATATTAATTTAGTAATAACTCACCAGTTCCGATTCCTTCTGTACCATTAATCAAGACCATAGGAAGAATCGGTAAGTACCTAATAATAATAATAATAATAATAATAATATGATGTTATAGATCATGTCACTTTATTATTAACTATCTAAATATTATTTTTAATAATAAAAAATTTACCATTCAGGTTCGATACTACTTCCGTCATCATTTAAATAATTTAATAATCCATCATCATGAGGTGAGAATACTAGACGTGTTAATGGGTTTAGTCTTGTGTTAATATAACGTGCACTCGCAGAATCTTTTCCACCCTAGTAAATTAAGAACAGAGATAAATATATAATCTTCAGTGGTTACATTTAAATTATTTGAAAAATCATTTATAATGATTATGATTTACCTGTATTCGTGAACCAAACTGACCACTGGGTTCTAAAAGGTTTAAATTATTCGATCCAATGAAATTATTCGCCATGGTTATTATGGTAGAATGTAAACTCGCTTCGCCGTGGTGATATGCAGAATGTTCCGAAACGTATCCCGCCAATTGGATAACCTATTACAGAAGAAAAAATAATGATATCAATACTGTAATCTTTAATTTTAACCTTATATAAAATATATATGTGTGTATATTCACCTTGATTTCTTTATTAAGCTTTCTTTTAAAGCATCCAAATAAAACCTTTCGTTGCCCGGGTTTTAAACCATCGAGCATTGAAGGAATTGATCTAATATTATCTGCCATGCTATATAATATCAATTCTTGGTTGATAAAGTTGGTGATAGTTATTTCACTAGCACTATGATCAATGTATGTGCCGGGCTAGAAAGTATAATTAATGTTAGTAAAAAATAATATCATAATATCTATATTATATTTATATATGTATATACATAAATAATATACATACCGTATAATTCCTTAGCCATTCTTTTCTTTCATCGGGTTTCTTTTTACTAAATGCCATATCTATCAATTCACGTTCTCCTTCCTGAACTTCTCTAAATGGTTTCATATGCAGATTTATCGCCGCGAAGTATTCTTTAGCTTCAGCAGGGCTACTAGTACCTAACCCCTTGAGGATTGAAATCGTAAATTCAGTAAATTCAGTTGATAAAATTTATTTAGAATCTTTTAGAGTAAAATGAAATATTATTCTTACTTTATAATATTTAATATCCCAACCTTTTCCATCATCGTTGACCTTTTTCCAATTTTCATATTCCGGTAAAGTAAAGAAACTTAATTTTCTTTTTGTTCTGGTATTAGTGCACTGTGATTCGAGATCAAAGTTAATTGATAAAAATTATATTATTTTTATTTTTTTTAGGATATATAAAATGTAACATACCCGAACAATGGGAGTAATAAATTCTTTGAGAAACCCGGGTATTTTCATTAATGACGGATAAAAATGATCCAGAAAGTTGATTATTAGTCCTTTAATATGACTGCCGTCGTGATCCTATAATAAGCCATTTTTATATTGGTCAAGAATTTAAAAAGAAAATAAATTATCATTTAATAAAATAATAATAATAATATGTTTGGTTTACCTGATCAGTCATAATCATGAGATGTCCGTATCGCAAGTCCTTGGCAGAGGTATATGTTTTATCGTGTTGTAACCCGAGAATTTTCTTAATACTTTGAATTTCTTCATTTTTTAAAATTTGTGTAGTGCTGGCTTCTCGTACATTCAATAATTTCCCTTTAAGTGGAAATACGCCATAATTATCTCTACCAACAGAAGATAATCCGGCAACTGCAAGAGTTTTTGCAGAATCTCCTTCGGTTAGAATAAGTGTACATTCCGCCGATTTCCTTGTTCCGGCGTTCTTTGCATCACTCAATTTATCAATCGTAGTTACTCTATTATCAAGAAAAATTAAAAATTAGTGTGATAAACATAAAATATATATCATGTACTTTTGATATTGAATGGAATTCTTACTTAGACTTCTTTGCACCATCCGTTTTCTTTAACTCCGTGACTTGCTTAGTCTTTACCTCAAAAATAATATCTTCAATGATATTAGATTTAAGTACTAAATAATGATAATGATAATAATTCCAAAGGTAAATTAAATCATTTTCAAATAAAATTAACAAAAATCAAAAGGTTCAAAGATGAATACCTTTGTTAGTAAAGTTATCACTGAAATTACATTTAGATCCAAAGGAACTTTGCCTCAAAGTCAAAGTTTCTTTGGTCTGAGAATCAAAGCTTGGATTCTCGATCAGACAGTTAATAAAAATCCATAAATGATTTTTGACAGTGTGGGGTTTTAACTTCGCATCTTTTACTTCTTTATTCTTTTTAACAGTTTCAGTTATCTTATTAATAAGTTGATCCAATACATGATTCACGTGTGTACCTCCTTTAGTTGTTGCGATACTATTAACAAAGCTAACCTTTTACAATTATATGTATATATATTTACTTGTTAATCATTTAGTAATATATAAAAATAATGTATAAAGTAATATATATATATATTAAAATTTAAAATAAAATAATAACAAAATCTCTCTACTAACTTGTTGAAATTGACCATCGTGACTTGCTGCAACTGCAAGTTCCCAACGATCGCTAACCACTTCATGTTGCATGAATGGCTTTGATGATGAATATTCTTCATTTGAGTTGATTGATGTTATATATTTTAGTGCATAATCTTTAAAACATTTAATTGAGATACGATTATTATTTAAAAAGACTTTGATTCCTTTAACACAACCCGCCAAGTCATATACTCGTTTCTGTAATAAGGAAATTATATCATCGGTCAATTCAGTTAAATTGAATTTCGACAAATCGGGTTTAAATGTGATTTTAGTGTATTCATCTTTAGAATAAGATGTAATTTTCGGTTTCTCGGTGATACTCATGTTATTTTTAAAAACTTGATGATATTTCTTTTTTATTCCTTTATTAGCAGTTTCCACAATGAATTCAGTACTGAAGATATTCGTTAGTTTCGCACCATAACCATTACGGCCACCTGTAACTTTCTTTTCATCATCATTGTAATTACTAGAAGTAAGGAGATGTCCGAATATTAATTCAGGTACATAAATCCCTTCTTCTTTATGAATCTCAATAGGAATCCCTTTTCCATTATTATATACAGAAATGACATTTTGTTCTTTATCAATGTTTACTCTTATAGTGTCCATTGTGGAGTCTCGTATCTATAATAATAATAAAATAATAATGCGTGTTTAGAAATTTTGAAATTTAAATTGGATGAATTAATAAATATAATAAAATACTTTGTTATCTGCGGCATTTACTAAGATTTCATCAACTATTTTGTATAGACCAGGGACGATATTAACTTCCCTATAAATGAGAATAATATAATGAATTAATATAATGAATTAATATAACGAATGAATAATAATGAATGAATGAATATAATGGTTGAAATATTGAAAAGAAAATAAAAAAATTACATTACTTACTTAAATTTCATTGTATCAGATTCTGAATCATAAACCCAAAGTTTTTCGGCAATTGTCTCGGCGGACCCAATGTACGTGTCAGGCCTCAATAGAATATGTTCAAGTTGAGATTTCTTTTGATAAATTTCTTCAACTGTTTTTTCGGCGGCTTGAGGAATTGCTTGAACTGAAGTTGCTTTGCTCGAAGAAGCTTCAATATATATATCCATATCCGTTTGAACCAAATTATCTTTACGAGCTCTTTTCATTTGGGGTTTAGCTTTATTTGAATTAGACATTTTTAATTTTTTAATTCTTGGAAAATTAAGAGCGAAAATAATAAAAAGTTAAAAAGTTAAAAAAGTTTGATTTATTTTTTTTATTTATTTATTTATTTATTTATTTATTTTATTTATCTTCTTTATTTTATTTATTTGTTGTGCAAGTCGCGTTTCATCACGATTGTGCGATTATATGTAACGCAAACAAATGTGGCCAATCAAAAACTAGAACGCAAACGCGACATTAACGTCATAATAGTTACGGTCAACTCTCGATAAAAGAAATTTTGATTGTTGTAGTTTTATTAATTTACACAAATCAACACATCAATTTCGACAGTTTTTGATAAACTGGTAGTTTTTAATTTTTACCAGTAAAATTAGAGTGATAATCTATTGTTAAAGGAAAATCGGTCATTAAGGGTTAACTTACAAAATTATGTAAAGTCAAATTTATTATTTTAAAGAATCAAATTATCAATTATTAAATAAAGTCTCATTACACCATGGCAACGGTATTTTCAGAAATTAATGAATTTAGAGTTAGTGGCCATTTTTTTGTTCTTAATATTGGTTAAACAGCATTGTATTTCCATTAACATAATAAAATTTATATTGAACCAAAGTATAGTAAAGTTGGTTGATTCAATTCAAAATATCATGAAAAATAAAACAAAAATCCAAGTATTCTAGGAATATATTATATTTTGAATTACACTAATAATTCATTACTCTTAGGTGTTGAACAAATCAAAAATGAAATTAAAATAACAATGGGAGAATTATATAGAGATGTGAATATTTTAGAAATAGATGCCACCTATCAAAACCAAGTAAAGTTCTTGAAACAATTCACAATATTTTTCAAGCCAAAAGAAACTTTTAATTAAGGTAAACAAATATGTATTATTTTACATTCTTACAAATTTAATGTGATAGATATGTAAAGGAAGAAATATATTCTGAATTAATTATTCCATTTGATAACAATTTCCAAATTGAATTGTATTAATTCACATTATACAAAGTGGCTTAGCCTATTTGCATATTATTCACAAATTTTCCTGCCTATTTGAGTCTTTCTGCCTATTTGTGTTATATATGTGTCATCATAAGTAAAAAGCTTTTGACTCAATTCCTGAAATTTTAATTGTCTATGTAATTGTATTAGTATTAGTGTTCCTAACAAATTGATTTTCCAAATTAATGAATTGGAATTTCATATGAAATTTAATATATAAACAATCCATTATATTTTTATAATAGTATTTTATATTATTCAAATCATATGTGAGTTAATGAGTTGACCAATTTGAAATTCTAGATTATATCAAATAATTATATCAATTGTATTAATTGTGTCTAACTAAATTCAATAGTATTGTAACTATTATGGATTTACAAATTTTTAATCATTAAAGTTCTTAATAATTACAATATAAATAATAATATCACAATTTTTAATTCATAATTACAAATACTATCTTTAGACACAAGATAACATATAATTTATTAATAATAAAAAACTAAAAGAAATAAAAACATCAGTTATTAGACAAATCTGAAATTGATCAACCAAATTTACAAATTTAGATTTTAAATACTAACTTGTATAACTGTAATTAACTTGGATTTATATATAATTTTAAAGTTGAAATTTTATAAAAAAGTTATTAAAAATAATAAGTTTCAGTTTATTAAAATATTTTTTAAATATTATTAGTAAAATTAAGTTATAAAAAATAATTTATTTTTAGTATTTTTAGTAATAAAAATGTTTATAATATTTTTGATAGAACTCTTTAAATACTATCTTTGTGAAAAGTTTGAGGTTTTATATCAAATATTGAAAAAAAATCTTTATAATATATAATTATGAAACTATAGTATTTAAAATATAATAAATTGATAAATATAAAGTATAGTATCATTTTAAATTTGAATTATAATTAATATATAATATTAGAAGTTAACAAAAAAACATTTCTTTGATATATATTCTTATATAAAAATTTTTATTAATAAATTTGTATAATTAGACTTGTTCAGTAACTGATAATATTTTTGTAAATTTGTAATTATTTCACAAGTCTATAATTATTTCTTAAGTTTATAATTATTTTATAAATCTATAATTATTATTATAAAAAATTTCTTTAATATTTTAATTAATAACTTTATATAAAGAGATTCAATTTTAATAAAACAACTATCAAAATGTTTACCTTGTTAAGAGAAATCCGATAAACTATAGATCACAAAAATTAAATCAAAAGTTAGTAAAAAATTGTTTTATATAATATAATAAATTATAATAGAATTTTACTTACTAATAAAACAAATGTTTTGAATAATAATTTTGTATAAAGTATATTTGTACACAAAATTATTTTGAAGTCCTGAAATTGCAATTCAAAAAAAAAGTCAAAATAATTTTTCATAGAAGATGAAATTATTTTACTTAAAACCTGAAATTTTTTGATTACCCAGATAAATTTCTTGATTAAAGATATACTTAACTATATATTTTTTTACTTCCATATATAAAATAGATTCTGAATAAATATCAAAAAAATAAAATATTTCAAAAATCAAAAATTAATTTTGAGAACATGTATAATATAGAGAAATTCAATTTGAATAAAATAACTATTTAATTGTTTGTCTAAATGAGAAAAATCCAATAAGTTATATATTACAAAAATTAAAACACAAGTTATTAAATTGCTCTATATAACAAATATAATTTTATTTATTAATTAAATAAATAATTTTAGTTAATAACTTGATATAGAAATATTTGATTAAAACAAAAAAGTATCATTTTGAAACTTGAAATATAAAAATTTTAAAAATAAAAATAATGTTATATAAAAATTTATAGATAAATATATTCAGATATATTTGCTTACTCACATATTTATTCACATAAATCACATTAATTCACATTAATCTACATTTATCCACATTAATTTATATGTTATACTAAATATATTCACATATATTCAGTTTTTATTAATTGTAAATATATCTGCATATATTTATAAGTAAAATTTTTCTGATGTAATTATATAATTCTCAAAGATTCTTTTGAAATATAAAATATTTAAAATTTTTTGAGTTGATCTTGTATTTGTTATTTATTACTATAAAAAATTAATAAGTAATGATTTATCAGTTTTAAATAAATGAATTTTTAAGATCTTTAGATAAGTTGTACTATAATAATATTTAAATTTATTATATTATAAATAAAATTTATTTGATAAAATATATAAGTTAATTAATAAAATTTTTTAACATTTAAAAAAATGATCAACATTACAAATTATAATGCATATATAATTTAATTTAGAAATTAAAATATATATCAAAAAATAATTTATTAAAATTGAAAAGAATAATTATAAATATTATTTTTTTCAATTTATTTTTTTTAATCTATAAAATAAAAAAAGTTATTAAAGTTTAAATACAGAAATATTTTATAAATTTTGAAATATATTTGTTAAGTAATTTATATATATTTTCAAAATAAATATGTATTTTAACTTTTTAAGATTTTTGAAATATCTATTCTATATATAGAAATAAAAAAAAATATCCAGTCTAATATATTTTTAATTAAAAATTTATTTAGGTAGGTAATTAAAAAATTTCAGATTTTAAGTAAAATAATTTTTAATTTCAATGATGCTATTTTATCTCCTATTTATTTTATTTTTCAAAACTAATCTGGATATTAATATAGTTTTAACCAACTAGTTATCATATACAAATATATATATAATTATATATAAAATTACTCAAATGAAGAAAAACAGATGATATATAAATAGATAAGAAGATTTGTAAATGATATATAAATAAGCGAGTCAATATATGAATAATATGCAAATAGGCTAAACCAATTTGTCAAAATTTTGTTAATTTTTGATTATTTGACATATGTCAAAAATGTAATAAAAATAGTTTATATATTAAAAAAGTTAAAAAACATATTGAAGAAATTAATGAAAATAATATTGATAATAATTACTAGTTGAATACAAAAAATCACTGGTATTAATTGAAATTCTTAATTATAAATCAGGATTTCTAATCATAAGATTGACTGTCTTATTTATTCCTTTTCGATATGTCTATTCTTTTATATTTAACCTGTGAATTAATTTGTAGAAGAGAATAAAAAATTTCAAAAATTACAAAATTAGACCTTATTGAAAAAATGAAGCAGATAAAGATATAGACAAACATGATTTATATATGAATGGAAAACTTCAAAAATTTATTAGAATAAAATAATCCATTTGGGTATTGATGACATCATCACTACGATAATCAATAAATTACTATTAACATACTCACGTGAATATCGAAGACAATTTTTTTTTTGATTTAGAACATTATGGTATATAATTAATATAACTTTCTTTATTAAATTGAAATATAAAAAAAAACAATTTAAACAAGGTTATTTGTTACTATCATTTAGCCGCAAAACGAGTACATTGAAGAGTCGATAAAACGTCATGGAAGGCGGTTTGATTATGAAGAACGCAAGTAAGAATTTTAATCAGAATTCCATAAACTTTAGATATAATCAAATCCAAAAGTGATATTTAGTAGCATTCAGTGGTCTTTACAAATATTTACTTTCAATTATTTAGACGGAAAAGACTTGCCCGTGATGCGCACAGTTCCTCAGCATTTGCTCGTAAGGTTCATGGTTTACGGGCTAAATTACATAATAAGAAGCGTCATGCTGAAAAAATAGAAATGAAGAAAAAGTAAGATTTATCATTATGCATATTTAAAGTAACTATTGAAGATGAAATATATTAATTATTATTATTATTATTATTGAAAAATGTAAAGAATTAAACAACATCAAGAAAAATCTTCTAAACAAAAAGATGCTCAAGCAATTCCTGAAGGAGCAATTCCTACTTATTTGTTGGATCGTGAAGGACAACAAAGAGCTAAAATATTATCAAATATGATAAAACAAAAACGTAAGGAGAAGGCAGGAAAATGGACTGTACCATTACCTAAAGTACGTGGAATTGCGGAAGACGAAATGTTTAAAGTTATTAAAACCGGAAAATATCGAAGTAAGTTATCTTTTTTTTTTATTCATCAAAATCATTGATTAACATTATTATTAAACATTATTATTTTTTGATATTAGCAAAGCAATGGAAACGTATGATCACAAAAGCTACTTTTGTGGGTGATGGATTTACTCGTAAACCACCAAAATATGAAAGATTCATTAGACCAATGGCTTTAAGATACAAAAAAGCTCACGTTACTCATCCAGAATTAAAAGCTACATTTCATTTACCAATAATTGGTGTTAAAAAAAATCCTCAAAGTCCTCTTTACACACAATTAGGAGTAATGACTAAAGGTTCTATTATAGAGGTTGGTTGGATTTTAAGAATTATTTTATTATTATATTATTAATTATCATCATCATCATTATTATTATCATTATTATTCATCATCATTATCATTATTATTACTTGTTAAATACAATATTTTTATAAAATTGATTTATTTATTTATTTCAGGTTAATGTATCTGAACTTGGACTTGTTACAACATCTGGAAAAGTTGTGTGGGGTAAATATGCACAAGGTATGACACACTCTTTTTGATTCATTTTTCTCATTCATTTTCTCACTCATTTTCTAACTTATTTTTTTTTGTGTAGTCACCAATAATCCTGAAAATGATGGTTGTATCAATGCTGTGTTACTTGTTTGATTTGGGGTCATAGCAATAACATTATGTAATGTAATATTATGAGGGTTGACTGTATAAAAATGGTCATAGAATAAAATTATTTTTGATAATTCAACATTTCTATTTTCAAAAAAAAAAAAAAACCAATAATATTCATTCATTAATATTTATTCATTAATAAATTTAATAAAGAGAATATAAATCATATAATCTAATAATCTGGATAATTCATTGAAAATTTTCGGCCATTTTGATAAATAATTCGTTTCGATCTTCAAGTAATTTATTCTATAATAATAATGTTCAAGGACACAACAAATAATAATAGACAATTTAATTATATTAATTATGATGTAAATAATAAATAAATAATCGTGAGTGTAAACCCATTTCGAAATTTAATTCGAATACAAAAATACAAACCAAAGTTTGTTTAGCCTCATCCAACTTTAATTGAGCCATCATAATATCCTGTATTTTGTTTTTAATGTATATAACTTTTGATTTCAAAATTCAAAGGAAGAAAAAAAAAATAAATTCAAAAGTAAAAATCTTTTACCGGTGGTAAAACTTTATAAGTTTTTAATTTTTTTGTTTTTGTTTTTATTTGTTGTTCCAAAATTCCAACTTTCTCTTCTCTCTGTTTCAATTTTCGAAAATTTAGTCCTTCTTTCTCAATGTTCATTGATGAATATTGTTTCTAAAAAAAATAATTAAAATAAAAAATAAATCATAATTATGAATTACCAATGAATATTTTAGTATTTTTTTTTAGTTACCTCCAGTCGTATCAATTTCTGATTATATTCTATTGCTTTCTTACTGACTAAATCATTATTCGCTTCCCATTCTTTAATTTTTTGTTTTTCGTGTAAATCCCATTTCTTTCGAAGGTTCGTTAAAAGTCTTTTTAATAATAATAATTTGATATAATTTTTTTTGTTGTTGTTGAAATGTTGTCAAAATCACCAAAATTATCGAATCAAACCCCATTAACTGATTCAACCCATTAATTAATTAATTCAACTGGCTATCTCATTTTTTTTTAAAAAAAAAAATACAAACATAATTAATTTTTCTTCTTTCAATTTAGCTTCTTGCGTATTGATTTTTAAGGATTCGATTATACGCGAAACTTCATATCTTTGACGTTCCGTTTCATATGAATCTATTGTTAATTGTGCTATAGCCGAAAGATAACTATACATTATTATTATTATTTTATATTATTATTATATTAATTTATAATTAAAGCAAAGAAAGAGACAATAGAACCAAACAAAAACGCATACACATATACATGTGTGTGTGTTTAAAATTGGACATAATTTTTAAATTTTTTTACCTGCTTCGTTCGACATCTTTTAAACCAAAAATTGTAGCTAAAGAGGATAATGATTTTAATGCCAACGCACCATTCTTTGATAAATTTTCTTTACTTATTCCTATAGTATCCAAAATATCTTTGATTCGTAGAGCTATTCGTATGTATATGTTTATATGATAAATTTTTTTTAAATAAATTTTCTCTCGATAAAAATAATTCATAATTGATAATGAAGATACCTTCAGTGCGATATTCCAGCGCGTGAATTTTTTGTTGTTGAAGAATGATTTCAGATATAGCGTCTTGTTGTTGGTTTAAGAGTGATATCTTGTGTAAAGCATTCGCTGTTGCAGGGTTCCTTTCGAAAAGCGGCACGGGTTTATCTTTGTAAAGCTTTTTTAGCCACGTGTCAATCTAAAGTATTGGATAATAAAGTAAAACCTCTCGTCGATATTTCATCATATATATATATTTTCATTTATTTCATTGTTGAAAATAAATAAATAAAAAAACATGTACAGTTTCCCATTTTTCAATATCGGATAGACCATTATTTTCGTTGACTTCAAAATTATCAAGCATTGGAGTTTCTTCCATAAAACATACGTCTTCCATAAAGGAAGGTTCCGAAATGTAACTAGATTCAGATATAAGAAAATCACTCGGGAATGCATCATTATTATCTTCACGAAATTGAGATTTGTTCATTTTTATTTTATTTAAAAAAATCTCCTTATGTAGGAAATGTAGGAAATGAATTCGCGTTTATTGTCTACTTCTTGATCACTCACGTGATCTCGTCACGACGCGTGTTTATCATCATAATAACAATACAGTCAACCCTCTATAAATGCATCCCTCGGGGAATTAGTAATAGGGTGCATTTATAAAGGAGGTGCATTTATAAAAAATTTTAATAAAAAAATAATTTAATGTTAATAAATGATTATTTTATTAATTATATTATATTTATTTAATCATTATTATATAATTAAACAATTATTGATTCATTTAATTATTATTATATAATTAAACAATTATTAATTGAAAAATTCATCTAAACTAGATTTTTGTAACATATTATTTCTTTTTAATTTTATAAAATTTTCAATTGTATTTGCTAATTTAATATACTTTTCTGAATTTTCTTGTTGAAGTAAAAACATTTGTACATTTTTTTAAACTTTTAAATACTATATCAATATCAATAATAATTGGTTCAATACTATCATAAAATTCTTCAGTATTTTAATTATTTTCATCTGAGTTTTTAAAAATATTAACAAGTTCAGTAATAATTTTGTCATCTTCTAAAACTTCATAAATGATATTTTCTTCTGGCACCAAAAGAAATTCCTCTACATCTATTGTATTGGGAAAACAAAGCGCTTGAATATTTTTAGAAATATCATTTGTTAATTCATTATTATTTTCATTAATATCATAAAAATTATCAAGTTCATTAAAAATAAGAATATTTGTATAAGTGGTCATCCTGGGACACCATAATATAATTATATTATGGTATTCCAAGATGACCACTTAGTATAGGTTATGGTATTCAGAAATGATACATGATTCAGTTTTGCTATATCATAAATGCGTAATTCAGTTTTGATGTGTCAGATGAATGACATGTGATTCAGTTTTGTTGCATCAAAAATATACAGCCCCTTGTATGATGCTCAAATCATGTTTACTATGTAAGATTAATATTAGAGATGAGTGACCATAACTTTCAAAGCTCTTTGCATCCCTCCTACAACAATCCCTAATTCTTTTAGAAATCCAAATTCGATATCATTAATTGTATGTCATGGCCTATGAAATAGTGATGCACTTTTTGACATGTGGTTCAGTTTTATTATATCAAAAATAAGTGGGTATGACTTATCCCCTAGACAACATCATCAGGAAATTTTTTCGGGTATAATATTTTGTAATTTTAACATGATGATAAATTTTCATAATTTTTCACGTAATATTACAAAAATTTATGGAAATTTTCGAAAGTTATTAAAATGTTAAAATTCCATAATATTATGTTCAAAAAATTACAGAAATTTAATGTTATGTTAAAATTACAGAATATTATATAAAAAATTACAGAAATTTATTACCGTGTTAAAATTACAAAATATTATACTCAAAAAATTACGAAAATTTAACACTATGTTAAAATTATACTTGCACGCAAAATTATTTTGGAGCCTCGAAATTGTAATTTCAGAAAAAAAAGTCGAAATAGTTTTTCATAGAAGACGAAATTATTTTACTTAAAACCCAAAATTTTTTGACCACCCAGATTT